GAACACAAGAGAGAAGCTAGGCATGAGAGGGAGCAGGACTATAATCCCACACTTAGGCTGAAGCAGAAGGACCCATGTTTGAGGTTAACCTGACCAGCCACACAGGTAGACTCTCTCTCAAAATGAAACAACCACCACAGTATAGAGAAAAGCAAAGCAAAGCATTGCAAGTCCATTCTGCTCTCATTGTGGCTGGGTAGGTAGAAATTTCATTTGGACATATTTTCCTGTAGGCTGATGAAGATGTATTTATGTTCATTGTCCTATCATTATCACTCAGAAGAAAACCAGTCCTTACTGATGCCCAGTCTCTCCTCAAAGCCTTGATAGTGTTTTGAGTCAGTGAACTCTTGAAGATTCTCTTGTTTTTCCGGGGTGCATGGCAATGTCCCGTAATCTGCAGTTGTTGGTGAGTTCCCTTCATCTATAAATGCCTTCTTTTTTCCAGGAAACTGTCCCTCTCTCTGCTTTTCTCTCTTCTCTGATCTTCCGCCTAGACAGAGATGCCTCTGGGAGGCCCTTCTAAGTGGATCTCAAATTCAGATGATGAAGAAAAGCCCCCCAAGCAGGAATAATGGATAATAGGAAGTCACCTGGACAGTGAGTGTGACTCAGGGTTGATCAGGCCACCTCACATGGGTGGCCACCTGGCTAGTCATTAGTGTTATCAGAGCAATTCAGTTTGTAAAGAAAACACTGACTAGAGTTGAGTTGCAAGACTGCAGAGGGGAAGTTGTGGTGAGTAGAAAATGCAGTGATTTGGGGCCAAATTTCTTCCTGTTACTTAGTTTCTTTTTAAATGAAAAAAAGAGATTTGTTTATTTTATGCATATGAGTGCTTGGCCTGCATATATGTATGTACACCATGTGTATGCCTGGTGTCCTTGGCATTCCAGAGCAGGGTGTCAGATCCCCTAGAACTAGAGTTTGGAATGGTTACGTGCTGCCATGTGTGTGCTGGGAACCCATCCCAGGTTCCCTGCAAGAGCGTCAAATGCTTTTAATATCTATGTCAACTCTCAAACTTCCTCACATGGTTTCTTAACCTCATTGACTTTTTTTTTTTTAATTTGAGATTGAGTCTCTCTTTCTGTCTCTGTCTCCCTTTCACACACACAGAGGCTGATCTTCAACTCCTCATCTCAAGCCAGCTTCCTGCCTCTGCCTCCACCTCTGTAGTAAGGGGAGCTACAGGCATATTAGACTGTGCCCAGCCTTTCCTGGCTTTTAGTTCATTATACATGGAAGACACAGCACGGCTCTTCAGGCCTTTTTCCTTCTTATATCACAGCTGGGAAAATGAAGGACCCTTGAGTTGGGCAGGGGACTTTTTCCTGTAACCTTACTCAGGAGGAGGTCATAAAGACCTTTTCTATCACTATTCCTTGCTCCATCATGGGCAGCTATGGTTCCTTCATATTGCACAAGCTACAGATTCATGTTTCCAGACTCATCACTTGAATCCTATAATATCTCTACTTGTCTTCCAGACCTCTAACTATTGTTATTAAAGAAAAACGGAAAAATCAGGTTTCGTTGAATCACTTCTCTAAATGGTCCAGTCGCATGAAGTTATTGAGACAACTAATAAAGACTTTCATCTTTATAGGAACCCTGGGAGGCTTACTAAGCATTAGTCGGGTATACTGACATCGTCCTTGTTTGCCACCTTAAGATCTTTTGAAGCCATCATTCATTCTTAGATGTTGCTCGCAGAATTGCTGATGCTCATGGGAGCTTGCTGAACATACTCAGCTCATGTTAACCAGAACACAGTTTTGCCTGTGGCATGCTCTGCATCCCATAGACATGGGTGCTCACCTGTTCTGAGAGCCTGTGTGAAGCACTGTGTGACCCTGGCATAGCTGCTGACTGTGCTCTAAATGGTGTCTTAAACCAAGGAGGAAAATAATTAGGTCCATGACAGTATGTTTTGGTTTTTCAAGACAGGGCTTTTCTGTGGCTTTGGAGGCTGTCCTGGAAATCACTCTGTAGACCAGGCTGGTCTCAAACTCACAGAGATCCACCTGCCTCTGCCTCTGCCTCCCGGGTACTGGGATTAAAGGCGTGTGCCACCACTGCCCGGCAACAATATGTTTTGATTGTTGACTTCTGATGGGCTTTATTATTTGGGTAGAGGGGCTACCCAGGGTTTTGGCTCTGGTGTCGTTTGTCAGCCATCACTGTAGTATTCAGTAGTGGGAGGAATCTTGGGTAGGATTTAGAACCACATATAAGTGGATATAAGCTTTTGCTAAGCTGCTTAACTGCTGTGTGACCTTGGGTCAGTTCCCTAACCATACTGAGCCGAAGCAGACAGATCTGGAAAAGACTGTGTTACTGCACAGATGGGAACTCAGGTAGATACTACAGCTCAGCCCAGGACACATAGGAAGCGCTACATAACAGACAGACTGACAAAAATAACTTCCGTCAGTTTTACATGGAGAGCAACACCAGATCAATTGTTAGTGGTTGTTTGTACAACGTAGGTCCAGGGAAGCCACTTATAACTCAGAATTGCCACCCTACAAGGTCATTCTCCTTCTGAAAGGGCCACATACCAGCAAGTTGGTTACTAAATAGCCTAGCCCATCAGCTGTCTTGATGAACTAATTGCTCCCATGACCTGCCGCTGGTCCTTTGATCCAGAGGAGTCATCTCAATTTCACTGTTGCCCTGGGAGCCTGCAGAGGTCCGTCTCTTGCTCAGTCCCACATCAGAAGCTGCTTGCCCCTGCGTTCTGCAGGTAATGCAATGCCAGCAAAAGCACACTTCTCTTCCAAAACACTGTTAGTACTGCTTCAAAATCTGGATGTGTGTGATGTGGGATATGCGTGTATGTACCTGTGTGTGTGTGTGTGTGTGTGTGTGTGTGTGTGTACACGTGCGTGCGTCGCGCGAGTGCGTGCAGGTACACACACGGATGCATGAGCATGGAGAGGCCAAAGGAGGATGTCCAGTGTTCTCTGCCACTCTCTGCTTTATTCCCTTGAGACAGACTCTCTCACTGAACCTGGAGCTCACAGTTTGTTTAGCTGGTAGCCAACAAGCCCGAGCACAGGGTTACAGGTGTGTGCAGCCAAGGCTGGCTCCCTATGTGAGTACCATGGATGTGAACCGAGGTCCTTATGCAACAAGCAGTCAGACCCACCAAACACCTCCTCAGCATGGAAAGTTTAACTTTTAAATGTAGACTTCACGACATGGGGGTATTTTCTACATACCACTTTTATTAGACTCAACTTACAAAAATGTCAGTCCAAAAAATTTAAAACATTGTTGGGTTTTTTTGTTTGTTTGTTTGTTTGTTTTTGGACTAGGAGAATTCTTAAAGAATAAAGTTTTTTGTTTTTTTTTTTAATTCTTTAGATTCAGAACAAATAAGGATACAGGGGTGTTTTGTAAGAGCCTGAGAAATCTACTGGCCTCATGTGACAATTGTAGGGATAGAGAAAATTCCATTCTTGTCACTGACTCTGGTTGGCACAGGGGGACTGATACAGCCTGTTAGTTTGCATTGAGTTTCTCAGACTTGTCTAGGCAGTTTGATCTTGGATATGAAAATCTTTTCCTGGTGGGCTCTGCTGCAGCCCCTCTAGAACCAGGAGAGCTCTGTCTTGACTGCATCCGGTTCCCTCTCTCAATGCCCACACTCCTCCCCCTCCCTTTCCCATGCTTTGCTTGCCATTCACCATTGGATATGCTTCCATCCTGTGACCTCAGGTTAGTCATCTCACCTTCCCTGGCTGATTTCCTCATTCTTAAATGCCATGACTGGGGCAGCCAGATGATCCCCAAGTGAGCAACCGGAGAAGCAACATGAACTCCAAGACTTCCTGACCCCAGGCTCACATTCCAGCAGGAAGGGAGATAGGCACATCAGGAAGACCTTGCTCAGCATCTCTCTGCTCGGCTGTGGTCCTCTGTTTTGCTCACAGCATCTCTCTCCCTTCTCTTCCAGTGAACCAAACCACTTTGTTCATAATTCTTATTGTGCCAGCAAGCTCTTGCTAGGACTTACCGACAGGCCCTGATGTGTGGTCACTATGTTCATCTCCAGTTTTGTACTTTTTTGCCCCTGGCCTGCTAAAACATCAGCCCACCATGAGATGAGGGCTGCAAATCCTATTCCCAATGAACAATGGTCTGGTTTCTTATCTGAGACTATTTGTCATGTATCTGTCATCTTACCTGAAACATCCAGAGGCCTACATGATAAAACGTTTTCCTACAACTAACAAAAGTAGAAAAGGGTTACAGCAGAATGGGCCGGAACCTCAGACAAAGCCTGAAAACCCAGACAGCAATCACCTTGAAGATCTCAGTACCCACATTTCCATAATCTGCCAATACATGCAGAGGTTAGGATAACTTTTCCCACTTGTAAAGAGTGATTATTTGAAATAAAAATAGCTCATTGAACAGACACAAAAGTGTGTGGAGATTCACCTTGATGCTTGCTGTGCTGACTTAGGCTCCCGGGTGTTTCTGACAGCCTGGTGTCAGAGGAAGTACCAACTCCAACTGTTACATTATACAACTGAGTAAACAGACAGCTACAGGAAAAACACAGGTCACAGTTGGACACCTGTGGAACTTTCAGGAAACACAGGAAAAGTGGCCCAGGGCAAATTCAGCAAGTTCGGCCCTTCCTCCCCCCAACCTCCTGCTAGGATTCTTGCTTGGAGCAGACAATGTGTTCTCAGGAGGTGAAGTCCTGCAAGGTCACTCTCAGAGACTGGAAGGTCGCCCTTCCAAGAGAGTAGACTGGTAACACTCCTCAACAACCTTCTTGGGTATGTCCTCACTGAGTTTGGAGACGCTGAATAAGAAAGAACAACCAGCTGCTAGAGGGGATAGAGAAGCAGTCCAAGACAGTGCTGAAGCAACCTCTGTTAGGGAGGCGGAACTCTAGGGCATTTCTTGGTACAGGAGTGACCATCTTCATGAAATCCCAGTCTCAGGTTTGCTTACCTATCTGTCCTCTGCTTCCACAGCTTCCTGCTTCCTTCCGGCTCCGCTGTTTTCGCACTGCTCACTGAAACACGAGATGAACTTCCTGTGACATAAATCCTACTGCAACCCCACTGGACTCTCCTGAGAGATGTGCTCCATCTCTGTGCGCCATGGGCCTCTGTTTCCACATGTACAAGAAGCCTGGATAAAATCTACCATGTAGGATTGAAATTACTAGCATAGTGCTTGGTTATTGGTGGTTATTAATATGATCTGCAACTTCTCCTCCACAGACTGCAGCCTCCTAGGGATTAGGGACCAGGTTGTTCATTTCTAGACCCCCTGAAGCTTGCCGCCTTTCAGCCGAGCAATACATGTTTACAGGATAGCATGGGAGAGGACCATTCTGCCTAACTGTGCCTGAGCATCTGCTGTTCACAGCCCCGTGGATCTCAGACAGCTTGTATGAGTGATCCTTATTCCGTCCAAGATGCCAGCCTCCAACTGGCTCCTTTGTTCACCAGGACTTAGAACTGTCAGCAGAGTAAAGGGTGACCTTCACACAGACTCTCCTGCTGCTGCCATGAGAACAAAGACACAGAAAGAAGAAAATGAGCATCTTACTCAGGAACATTCTAGAATGTGGCAATAAGGATGGGGGAGGGAAACAGTTTCCCGGGCTGGTTCGCAGGGGAACCCTGGCTCAAGGTCTGGTTCTGGGAATCCATGGGGTAGAAGTGACTTCTTGCAAATGGGTCACGCTACTACGCATATGGTGCATGTGGGTGGAACATAAATGTGACTTTTGCCTCTTTTCAGAGGTCAGGTTTGTTGAGAGGTTTCAAATGACCTGGAAAGTCCATCCAATGTCTACTCTTATGGGGTGAGAGGCTATAACCCTGCAATGCAGACATTTAGCCAGAGCTGAGACGACTTACCCCTAGGCCAGGACACCAACCAAACAAGGCCTCACACTCACCCTTGGGGGAAACCAACAAAGCAGTGGCTGTGGGCAGCGGTCAGTTTAGTCACTGGAAATAAAAGCTTTTGAGCCCGCCTGAGCTACCAGACAGCTCTCAGTTCATTTCTAAAATTGGAAAATAATGTTTGCCTTCCCAATCGTACCTCCCTTTCGCAGAGCAAGCCAAGTGTCCTCTGGTCCACTACAGCCTGCTGAGTGGCACCCTGCAGCCCTGCAGCCCTGCAGCCCTTCCAGCTTATCTATATGACACTTGCTGTAATTTTTCTTCTGTATTATTATTATTTATGGAAGTCTCTTGCCCTCTCATCCCACTACAAAAGCCTCTAAGGTCAGATAAGAAACGTGTCTGGTTCCCTCTAGTACGCTGTGCCATCCATGCTGTAGGGAATTCTGGGAATATCCTTCGAGGGAACGAAGGAACAGTGAAGTAATAATCTAACTTGAGTTTCCAAAAAGTTTGAAATGCTTTAAAAATAGTAAGTGTAGCTGGGCGTTGATGGTGCACGCCTTTAATCCCAGCACTCGGGAGGCAGAGGCAGGCGGATCTCTGTGAGTTCCTGGTCTCCAGAGCAAGTGCCAGGATAGGCTCCAAAGCTACACAGAGAAACCCTGTCTCGGAAAAAAAAAAAAAAAGTAAGTGTAATCATGTAAAGACTAAAATTTTCTAAGCACTTTGGGAACCATAACTCCCTGGAGGGTAAGGAAGAGGATTTCTCTCTTTTTCTGTGTGTCTGCATCTGTACGTATGCATTTATATGTGTGTTCCAGTGCTTGTGGGCATGTGTGTGGAGGTGCAAGGTTGACACTGGGAGTCTTCCTCGATTGGTCTCCACCTTATTCTTGATACAGGGCTCACTTGAACCTAGAGCTCTCAGATGGGGTACGTTTAGCTAGCAGCTTGATCTGAGGGTTCCCTTTCTCCACCTTCCAGGCACTGGAATTGGGTCTCCACACCAATCTGGCATTTATGTGGGGTCTGAAAATCCAAATCCCCATCCTCAAGTTTGTGTGGCAAGTGATTTAACCACTGAGCCATCTCCAGGGCTCCCCCACTTCTTTTAAGCATGCCCGGCTATTCTCCAAACTGCTCAAAGAACTGTACTGTAGTTTTAAATCCTTTCAGATCTTCATTGCTTGACACATTTCACCACTTCCCTTTTTTTTTTTTAAAGATGGAATTATCTTTACTATTTTGAATATTAAGAAGAGGCCCATGCATAATGCAAACAACTAAACAGCATGAAATAGAAAGTATAACATATTACTGGGTCCATTTCCAAGAGGTTACTTATTGGTGTCCTTTTATAGTTTTAATGCAATGTGATACACAGCATCTTGGTAGTTCCTGATTCATTCTACCTGAATTGGCTTTTAAAAACTAGCGCAATGTCATGGCCTTCTTCGCACACGGACACACATAGGTCCCATTGTTCTTCAGCAGCACACAGTTTCTCTCTCTCTTTCTCATTTTTTTTTTTTTTGGTTTTATTTTTCGAGACAGGGTTTCTCTGCAGCTTTTGAGGCTGTCTTAGAACTCACTTAGTAGACCAGGCTGGCCTCGAACTCACAGAGATCCACCTGTCTCTGCCTCTCTGCTTGGTCTAAAGGTGTGCGCCACCACCACAAACTTCAGGCAGATTTTGATTTTCTGCTGTTACAGGATGCCCTGCAGTGAAATCCTTTCACATAAATCTTTGCCATGTGTTTCTTCAGCTACCCTTAAATGTAGAACTTTTGGGTTCAAGGGTACAGCATTTAACATTTTGAAAGCCACATTTTCTGGGAAGGGAAGAAGGGGCGGGGGGAGGAGAACAAGAGGACTGAGATGGGAAAAATAGAGGAGGGCAAGAAAGGAGATGCCTTGATAGAGGGAGACAGTACAGGTCTGGAGAGAGGTCTGGCACAGGGGAAATGTTAGGGGATCCACAGGGATGACCGCAACTAAGAATCCAAGCAGCGGTGGAGAAAATGCCATTGATGCCCTTCCCCTATAATGAGATTGGTGTCTACCTTGGTTACCATTCCTAGAGCCTTCATCCAGTAGCTGTTTGAAGCAGAAACAGGCACCCACAGCTAAGCACTGAACCATACCCCTGGAATCCAATTGTGGAGAGGGAGGAGGGATGAGCAAAGCAGCCAAGATGGTGCTGCACAAACAGTTGACCTGACCTAGTGAGAGCATGGAGACTCTAGTCATAAAGTTGTGGAAACAGCATTGGACCGAACCAAGCCCTCTGAATATGGGTGCCAGCTAGGAGGACAAGACAATCTATGGGACCTCTAACAGTAGAGCCAGTCTTTAACTCTAGAGCACAAATGGACTTTGGGAGCCCATTCCCTATGGAGGGATACTATTGCAGCCCAGATACAGCAAGGAGGGCCTAGGCCCTCCCCCAATGATATGACAGACTTTGAAGGTCCCTGGTGGAGGGCCTCACTATCCCTGGGGATGAGTTGGGGGATGGGTTGGGGGGGTTGGTGGGGAAAACATGGGAGGATGGGAGGGCAAGGGAATGGGGGGATGGATATGTAAATATGAGCAGTAATTAAAGAATTTAAATAAAAAAGAAAGCCACATTTTCCTCCAAAATCTTCATGCATTTGCTTTCCCAATTTCTATCCCCCTAGTAGAAATGAACACAACCCATTGCACACCCCAGACTTTTCAGGCTTTCCTGATACATGTTGGGAAGCACGCAGCTGATGGGCTTCCATAGTGTAGTAGGTGGGGGAAATACTGTACTTTCCAACTGCTTTTATGTACAGTTCATGCATTCTTTTTACCGGTCACAGTAGTCCATGGGCTGAGTAAAAACCTTCAATTCTCATTTTAGATTCTTAGACATGAAGCCTTGCCCTGGCTGTCACTGCAAGTCAGTATGCATGTCAGCAGGGAGGGCCTTGAATTTTCCCAATTCTTTCCCTCACCTGGAAGGGCCAGCTGGGAGAGGACAAGGCCACTTGAGAAGGAACCTCCCCCAGGCTCTGCACATCTTGAATTTTTGCCAAGCATGAAGAATGACCTGATTGGGGAGTTTAGTTTCTTTATCTGACATAGGTCCTCTTTCTGACCAAGCCAAGTTGGAGAAGGAGGAGACAGGTGGCCCAGGGTGTTGGCATCAGGCCTGTTGGGAAGCTCTGGGCATGGGAGAGCATAAGTTCAGAGAGCTCTGTCCCTGTACTTCTTCCCAGCATCCCATCTGGAGGCTGGGGGAGGACAGATCCAGGTGCTCCCACTGCCCTCTTGCAGTGTCCTTTGAGCTGTAAATTCGTTTGCAAATTACCCTGCTGCTTCAGTTGCATAGGAATATTCACAAGATGCTACTGTTACATAGAACTTAACTTGAGCTACCAGGGAGGAGTATTTGATAGTCCAAGGTTATCTTACTTCTTCCCAGTGGCTCTGCAGGAAAGTGGCTTTGTATAGAGGTCAGATGGAAAGTTCCACAGCCTAACATACCCCAGACAGCCAAGGCTGGTTTGGGTGGAATTCTTTGTAAGTGATAATGGCAGGCTTCATGGGGGTTTACATGGATCAGGGGGTTTACATGGATCAGGGCTGCGTCTTACCCTGCAGCTATATGTAGCCACTGAGCCCTTAAGAGTGAGGCTCAGTTCAATTCAGTATTAGAAAACTTTGAACTGATTTTAACAACTTGGCAGTTGAGAGTGCCTTTCGATAGTAAATTGTAGCTGGCCTTTCTTGTAGGACTTTCTTGTTGGACCACCAGATCCCAAATAATAACACAGGAGACTTATTATTAATTATGAAAAGTTGGCCTTTGTTTAGACATGTTTCCAACTAGCTCTTATAACTTGAATTAACCAATTTCTATTCATCTATGTTCCATCACATGGCTCTTGACTTCTCCTCCATTCTGTACATCCGACTCCCTCTGTGTCTCCTACACTACCAGATTCTAACCCTGAGTTCCTCTCTCTGCCTGGAAGTCCCGCCTCTTCTCTTCTGCCTAGCTATTGGTCATTCAGCTCTTTATTAAACCAATGAGGTGCTTCAGGCAGGTAAGGTAAATCATAGGCACATTTTCACACAGTGTGATCAAATATCCTGCAACAGTAAATTTTATCAAAACTAAAAACCAAACAAGGGTTTCCTTTTGAAACATTGTACTTTTAATTACATGTTTGTGTGAATAGGTATGTGCATGTGAGTTCAGGTATTGGAAGAGGCCAGAAGGAGGTGTCAGTCTCCTGGAGCTGGTGTTACCTGTGATTGTGAGCTGCCCACCATAGGTGCTGGGAATTGAACTAGAGTCCTCAGCAAGAGCAGCAAGTGTTCCTCACTGTTGAGCCACCTCTCCAACCCCCGATCAAATGTTCTTATGAAATTTTTGTAACTTAAGTGAAATTTGTTTTGAGTGGGAAATAGACACTGGCTTTCAATGATAGAATATCTAAGAGAATGAAAAGTAGTTCAATGATGTGTACACTGACAGCATTCTAACAAGGGAATTCCAGATAAACAAAACAGAATATGAAAATTCATTTTTACCTGGTTTTAATTTTTATACTATTTCATACAGTTCCTAGAAAATGGGAACTTCTTGGCTACTCACTCATCCATCCTTTTATTAGGCATTTATTAAACACCTAATACATGGTAAGAAAGGAAAGTAGTTACAAAATTCAGAAGGGTGACTTCTAAGCCTGCCCTACATTGGATGGAATGAATACATCTGTATGCCTGTGTGAAACTCCCTAAGATGTAATACTACTTAGGACAAATATTAAAATCAACTTTTTTCTAAGCTTCATGGACTAAACTCCTTGCTCATTAATCTGTTGAACCTATGGCTTCATGACATTTGTATAAAGCTCTGGTTTTCCTGTAAGTTTCTCACTCACTACATTTAGTAGTGTTGGTTAATGGAGAGATCATTTGTGGGAAAGAACACAGGCTGCTTGCCCAAGTCCTCCAAAGCATCAGTTGGTGTGGGGTTTCCTCTGATGCTATAGGATTTCTGTAACAATCCATGTGACCAACAACCTTTGCAATGAAGGCAGTGGGCATTACATTAAGGAGAGTGACCAGGCCCTATGGAAATCTTTTTTCTCTTTGCTATATAACCCAAGCTTGTCTTGAACTCACTGTCTCCAAGTGTGTGTGTATAGGGGCACACTGCCTTGCTGGGCTCCATATAAATTACCCGGTGAGCTAGAAGATTCAGACAGATCAAAGAAAGAACTATTACTTTTCCCCATGAATAGAAAACTGATGGAATAATAATGGCAACATTGTTGAGGGATTGCTTTAAAAAAAAAATCAATAAGCGCTCAATGGTGCAGGATATACTTAGCGTGGATTGAAACCCACTCCCCCATCCCATCCCAAACCCAACAAAATCTGCATTGTTGATTTCTAATTTACTGTGCCTCTTCAAATTCTTCCATAAAGCATTCTTAAGGATTAGAAATGTAGATGAGATCCCGATCCATATATATTCAGTGGATATAACTCACTATCTGTCAGTCAACCGGCAGATATTCATTGGACATCAATGACATGGTGAGTCCCGTGATTGGCATTACAAAAGACTGCAAGGTCGAGGCTGAGGAGACAATCACCAGGACTCTTCCATAGAGTGTTTATGGCTTCCACTAGCCCTATAAATTATTATCTTCCCCAGTACAGTTGTGTGATTTACTGTCTTATAACCCATCAAGGGGTCAAGCCAGGTACTTTGCCTACCTCAGTCCCAAGTTTGACACACTCAGGAATGTGGTTTGTGTTCTCAAAGAGTTTACTGTTTGGGAAGACATGAGGATACACTGGGAACAGTGAAATAATGTAAGCGCTGCCATGGTGACATTTGCAACACTTTGTGGAGAAGAATGGGTGTTGTTTTAATTTCGGCATGGTGGCTATGCTTTAATCCAGCTATGCTTTCAGCCAGCAATTGCAACTCCACAGTTACCAGCCTGTTTCTCTAGCAGTGACCTGGCCACTTAGGCCACAGCCTGGCAGGAATTCTGTTCTGCAGGCACTGGCTCTGTTGCTGCTGCTAGAGGTAGCTTTACAATGTTTGTTTTGATTTGTTTTTGTTTTCCGGGACAGAGTTTCTCTGTGTAACAGTTCTGGCTGTCATGACACTAGCTCTGTAGACCAGGCTGGCCTCGAACTCACAGAGATCTACCTGCCTCTGCCTCCCGAGTGCTGGGATTAAAGGCATGTGCCACCACCGCCTGATGCTAAAGGTTGCTTTAATTAAATCTCTATCATTCTATTTATAAATACGACTCAAGATTCAAAGGCTGGGGTGAAAACCTGCTAGCTCAAAGAGGCTGGGTGGCAACTGGCTAACCTCTACTTGCTGGCATCTCCCAAAGAGAATGTCCTTCTGCTCCTGGATTGTATAAAAAAGCAGGCTGAGCAAGCCATGGGGAGCAAGCCAGTAAGCACCCTTCCTCTGTGGCCTCTTCATCGGTTCCTGCCTCCAGGTTCCTGTCCTGACTTCCCTTCATGATGAACTATAAACTGTAAGCTGAAATAGATCCTTTCCTCCACAAGTTACTTTGCTTATGGTGTTTATCATGGCAAAGAAAGCAAACTAAGACAGTGGCCCAGGATGGCCTCCTTCTTCTCAGCATGGGGAAACCCAGATGGACTCAGCACCAAGCATTTCTTTCTGCCTGACTTACTCCATTGTGTTGATGTGGTTTTTCTCATTCATTACATTTATCTGAAGCTCAATAAGTTTTTCCTTATGTATACTAAGTTTATGCTCTACCACTGAGCTCCACCCCCAGCCTGGGAGGGATGCCAGAGTGTGGGATGTGTTGTATTTAGGAGATTCTTGCTATTCACTGAGGCTAGACTTCTAGCATAGAATGGCAGGAAGTTCCTGTCTAAGCAGAGATGGGACAAGAGATGTGGATCAGGTAGGGTAAGGAGACAGAAGACATAAACACTCAACCTGCATTTTAAAATGCCAGCAAGGTGCAGCTGGTGGATAGACTTTGGTTAACTATAGACCAGGTTGGAATCAGGCACCTTTGAAACAATAGAGGCAAGAAGAACAGAGAGGGGGCATTGGCAGACAGAGGTGACGGGACCCATCTGAGCCATCATCCCCTGCTCCATTCTCACAGGCAGTGTGGGAAGACACAAGACAGTGAGTCAGCAGAACTCTGCTCAATTACCAGTCTTACTTCGGGTTGGTCACCCACTCTTAGGTCAAAGCACATTACCAAGTCAGTCCTGGAATTCCCAACAAAGAGGAAGTGGTATAAGCCTGACCAAGTTCCTGCCAGGCACAGACACTCACATGCCTACAGACAGAAGGTGCAGGGCCTTTGCTGGGATCTTGTTCTATTTCTCCAAACAGCTGCCAGAGTGTGGTAAGGACAGAGTTGCTGAAATCATGAGGCCCATGTGACACACACAGATTTACCTCTGAGTTCCAACTGAATAGAGGACACAGACACATGGTCCCAAGAAACACACATCCTAGGTTTTACCTGTAGCTATAGCTGTAATGTAACTAGAACAACATTAAATGCATTTTAAGTCACTAAGAGACCACCCATGATCTCTTCCATTTCACCCAGATGTTGAGCTCCTAACCCCTTCCTGTTATATGAATGTCTTTCCTGGGCAGATGGATGAAGCTCCCTGAAAAGCTTCTGCCTCCATCTCTTATTTACTGATATAGAATAAGTAATGCCATTTCAAAACCAAAGAACAGCTTTCTGAATTGATTTTGGGTCTGTAGAATCCTACTACAATTTTTCTAAATAACAAACTAAAGTTGCCCAAGAAATAAACTTTGGATAGGATTGCTTAGTCTTCCACATGAACAGGTTTCATGGATAAACATGGCTTCTTTTCTATTTGTTGCACTTTTTCAATTCCTAGTATGAGTGTTTTTGTGCTCTAAATGTAGAATCTCTCCCAGAAGCTCAAGTATTTGAATGCTTGGTCCCCATCGATGGCATTGTTTGTGGAAATGGTACAGCCTTGTTGGATGAAGTATACTTAGGGGGACTTGAGTCACCTTTGGTTATAGTGTCTTAACAAAGCAACAGAGAAGTAACTACTCCAAGATTCTTTAATGTCAAATGTAATTTTAATAAGATACAACCAACATTTCTGAATAAGAAGACATGCGAGCGACAGTGAGATGACTCAGTGAGTAAAGGCACCTATCACTAAGTCTCAGAACCTGAGTTTGACCCCAAGGACCTTCATGGGAGAAGGAGAAAACTGGCTCCCACAAGTTGTCCTCTGAAATATGTCTTCATTTTCCACTATGCTCATTTTCTCATTTGTCAAGTTGCTGTGTGTAAGACATAACACATTATTATTCAAATGGAAACATATTAGAATGGGATCCCATTACACACAGGACTTTGTCTTCTGCTCTCCCTCCACTTGGCAATGTATGCTGGGCATCTCCCATGCCCTTCAGAGCTGTTATACAAGGCAATGGGTAATGGTTGCACATTCTCTTCCTGTTGTCAGGTGCCCTTTGACTGAGCCCTCCCCCGGTTCTTACTCTACATCATTGTCATGCTGCTCCTTGGGAAGGGGAGGAACTAAGAGAAAAGGTGAGAAGCATTCATATCTGGGCCCTTTCTTAGCCTGTTTCTCATTGCTATAACAAAAGACCCGAGTTCAATTCCTGGGATCCACATGACAGAAAGAAAGAACTTACACCCACAAGTTGTGCTTTGGCCTACACACACACACACACACACACACACACACACACACACACCACACTAGGGAATATACACCCAAATAAATAATAGTAAAAAAAATGAGGTAGAGAGTAGTAGAGAGAGATGCCCAGCATCAATCTCTGTTCTCCACATAACATATGAACCCGCATGCACGTGAAAGTGATACAAACAAAGATATAGGTAACATGATTATTCTCTATAATGTCATGGACTAATCTAGAATACCAGACCCTACTGCACTGTCACATGAATAATCAGGGCTGAACATGGCTGGCACAGCACTTCACACAGGTGAAGAGGACAAAGATGTGTTTTCTTTGCGTGGGTCTCTGAGGAGCACACCAACATTGGCCACACAGGGTTCACCACAGATGGTGAGTTTCACTTTGGCTTTGAATTCTGATCCACCACCTTCCAATACTTGTGGCCTTGCACAACCCACCCATCCTCATTAAGCCCTTAGGGGGACAAGGATGGGAAGATCAAAGGTATAGAGGTGAAAAATACAGAAGCCCCAAGCCGCACATCTGGCATGTCATCAGCATGGCTCAACGAGGTCCTGAATATAGGGGTTTCCCAGAATGATGCACTCAAAGCAGGTGAGAGGCCACGAAACACTTCTCTTAAGAGGCAGGCCCCATCTTTAAGGGGTTCTGATGGCACAGATGGAGAAGCAGTATTTCAAAACAACGACAGAGCCTATGCCAACAAATGGGGGTTGTACTGTATGAGGACAGTCAGGGCAAAGAAAATGGGATATATATATATATATATATATATATATATATATATATATA